TATATATTAATTATATATAATAATTTTTATCGTGTTGGTGTTAATATTAACACATAGATTTAACAATATACGATGTCTGTATATAATTCTCACCAATGTGGATTTTTAACTTCTATTTGTATCAACACCATCATGGGATTTAAAATCCATGGTAGATGTGTTAAATCCACATCATATTGATGTTAATATTAACACTAGTATACACTGAATTATATAGACATTGTTAAACACCGATATTTTCTAAAGTATATAAACATTAGTTACGATTAGTTGTTGGTGACGTAATAGATAGATCTGAGCATCAGCACAAAAAAGCTATTTTTATATTGGCGCGCGAGAAATCGGCCTACATTGCAAATCGATTTAGGATTATCGGACGTGATTTAACGATGCGTTGTCGCATAACAATTAATAAATTTACATGATAAATAATCAGGAACAAGATTTAACTGGATTATTATACAAAAACATCGGTCGGCAATACCTAATTGAATGTATTTTATAAAACGACTGAACTTATTTTGCTGATAATACTCATTCTTGCAATGCAATTCTCGACTTCCATGATACAATAAAAAGCATTAGTTTTCTAAGTGAATATTGAAATTTTTCCAAGTATTCTGTTGAAAAAATTGTACTTATGTAATATTCTCGCGATGCGATATGCATAATAATTAACTAAGCGTTAAATAACTACTTTCGAAAATATAAGACTTATACGTCCTCGTTTTTCAGATTTTGAGAAAGTCGTCGTCAAGCAAGAACGTCCAGACGATGCGGAAATTCGTGAATTGGCTGCCAAAATGGTGGAAGCACACAAGGCGAAAATGCTGGCGAACATGCCAGCAGTACAACAACAACAACAACAACAACAGCAGAGGCAGCAGTGTCTTATACCGCAGCCTAATCTTCCCGGTATTCTTGGATATCTGCACAAACGACCAACTGATGGATCGTCCGCTCCGAAATCGTCGACCGGTGGTTTGGAAAGTAAAGTGCCGACGCCGGACGACGACAGCCAGCGGGGACGATTCGGTTGGACGAGCTTCGACGAATGTCACATACCTTATATATTTCGCTCCGGTGAAAAGTATTGCGCCGTACGCATCCTAGAATCTAAGCTTCTCAACAAGTACCTGAGTTTTCTTCATTCGGACATCTATAGTTGCACATGTATAAGAAGTTATTACATTACGGAGGCCGAGAGCAAGTTGTTTAACGAGATTAACACCAAGCACTGCGAGAATCAATTCGGGAGGGACGTGTTTACGTGTAAGGATCTGGTGGTGCGTTTATCGGACGCCAAGGAATTTTATACATTTCTCGATGTGTGTTATACCAAACTAACCGCCGGTACCAATCCGAACGTGACAAGCGGACGCAAAGCGGAGAAATGTGGTTTCATACGAATAAACAAAGAGTCTGTAGTACCTTATACAGTAAAGGATAGTTTGCAATATGTGCCGCTGTTTTATTTCGAGGGCGAGACGGAAAATCTCAAGCTAAAAGCGGAAAAGCTTGAGGGCTGGGATTTATCATATTTGAAATTTTGCTGCAAAGTACAGGGTATACGTAATGAACTGTTTGCGAGTGAAACGTGTTCGGTAATCAGTTTGAGTGACATTAAGAGTTACTTTCCACCGGGTACCGGCTTCGAGGACTACTGGCCGACCAAAGTTATGGACTCACAGTTATTGGTGAACAGCAACGGAAGTGGTACCGGTGGTGGATGGACAAAACAGCCACCTACACCGCCGGCAACTAAACCTCCCTCTGTGCAAAGCGCGAATAAAGTGGCACCATCTCTAAACACGCGTACCGTACCGATGCCTAATATGATGCCACGGGGGACTGTCGCGAGTACGGCACCGCAGATGCCGCGAATAGGACAGCCGAGGCCTGTAGTGACGCACCCCGCGCATTCCTCCCCATCGGGACTTCCCACCGGTAGATCAAATATGCCGGTAGTGTCGCAGCCTATGCTGAATACCGTTCAAGGTGTGGTTAACGGCCATTGGTCAGGCCTCGTTGGTGGTCAACCTACCTTTCAAACGGCACTCAATCCTCAGGCCAGCATTATACGAGCGACTTTGAACAATGTGATGCACAACGTAAGCTAATTTCCTTGTATTATAAACATGGTTGCTACCTTTCGGTTAGTATTATTAGAAATCGATGACTCTTCTACTGGACATGTTGCTAAACTGTTGAAACTCGATAATCACTGCCGAGATCGTTATTTTCTTCTCGTACAGTATTCTTCATCCAAGAGACGTCCTGGAAATAGTGTAGGGACATCTTTTAGAACATTTCTTAGATTACATTCGGGGAGCGCTATTAGTATTCATTCTATCTTCATTATCCATTAACTGTGAGATAAGGATAGTATTATACAGATGGCGCTGATAGTGCGCTTCTCGAATTGGACATCTATATGAATGGTTTAAAAAAAAAAAAGAAAAAGAAACTTAACAAATTTAGTAAATATTTTGCTATTTCGAAAGAAAAATCCTGAAGAGAAGCTCAACAAAATTTTAAGCGGTAATCGAAAATTTTTTCCGTCACTTGAAGAGCCGGAGATTCATTCAAAAAATTTCATTCGAAAAGAGAGGTGGCAATCATGATTATAAATTATAATATGTGATGTCCGCGATGCTTTGATAATTTTTGTAGTTCAGTGTTTATATCGTATATCGTATACCAGACAAAATGTACAGTTTTTTATTTTTAGCCACAGATGACAACTGCTCCCAAAAGCTATTCTCAACAGTCTAGAAGTAGAGGGAGCAGTAGTGGAGCAGCAGCTCAGTATCCTGGGGTATATTCGACAACAAGTATGCAAGGGGTTGCTCAAGTCCAACCACCTCCTCTTATACGAGCAACTGTTCACTCCAATCAACCGAATCTCGGGTAAGTATCAATAGAATTTTCTAAAAATTTTTGATATAGCTTAGTACGTATATACACATGTGTTGTAAGCTCACAAAATTTTATTTAATTTAAATAATTTATTTATTTTAAATAATTTAAAAGATATTTTTGTTTTTCTTTTATCAATGGTTTTTTGGCAACTTTTTATACCGTACGCTTGCTTACAAAGCAAACCAATTAGCATGTACATATTAGAATGTACATATTATTCAATAAAATTATTGCACCTATTTATTTTGTATTGTGTATGGTATCGTTTATCGTTAAAAAATTAAAAATCGTATGCTGCGAAAGATAATTTTCATTTAAAAAAAAAAGATAAATAAATGTTTTCCTTCT